GTGTCATCAGCAAACTTGCTGATAGTACATCAATTGTACATGAAAAATTAGTTATAAAAACCAAATCTCACTCAAAATCCCCACCTACCACCACCCCACAATCCCAAGGTTTCCCAAATGCCAGGCTTGGAGGCAGTTTTACTTCAATAAAAAGTAGCAGGCCATGGAAATACATTAATAGAATTCTAATTTTCGTCCAAAAGCAGCTTAACATAAATCCTATAAAACACTCAGTTTTATACTCGTAGTTTTTACTACGAAAAACGTTCATAAAGTTTTATTGTTTTAGGAAGTGCTATGTCTACATAAATCCTACACGCTGTGCAGTTACTTAAATCCATGCACAATTACAATGCCTCTTACACAGTTGCAACTACCTAAACTCATGCACCAAAGTATATTTGGGTCTAAGTCAGCATGTTTTAATGTCCATACCCAAAGAACATTTACAGAATGAACCTCTTTAAGCCAATTAGGAAATAAAAAGGTAATGCACACGCTTATTTAATTTCTCCTGCTGTTGGACCTGAATCTAGACAAAGTGTCAGACTGAAGATATTTTGATATAACTCACTCCCCTCTCATCAGCATTTGTTTGCAGTTCTGCCTAGCAAAACAGAACTGGAAAAATACAAAATCAGTTATGTCAAAAGAGAAGAACTATAATGCAAAAGGAGGTAATTTCTTAGCAAGCCACCTAAAGCTGAACCTTGCTGTCTCTTAACTCTCAGAGCTCATTTTCTCCCCACTTCCTTTTACAGTCTTGGTACGTTAGTCAAAACTACTTCCCCGTTGGGCCAGCAGCACCTGGTAAAAGGCTTCCCTTTGTTATAGGCATAAGAAATTTTAGCTGGCTGAAGTAGGCTTTTGTCTTAACACTAGAGCTAAAAGATCACTTTGACCTCTACAGAGTTGAGAAGAACGGACCATGGTGGGATATGTGTATACAGGTGCTTAGGACGGGTATAAGAAGAATGGGCCATGGTGGGATATGTGTATACAGGTCCTTAGGACGGGTATAAGAAGAATGGACCATGGTGGGATATGTGTATACAGGTGCTTAGGATGGGTATAAGAAGAACGGACCATGGTGGGATATGTGTATACAGGTGCTTAGGACGGGTATAAGAAGAATGGACCATGGTGGGATATGTGTATACAGGTGCTTAGGACGGGTATAAGAAGAATGGGCCATGGTGGGATATGTGTATACAGGTGCTTAGGACGGGTATAAGAAGAATGGGCCATAACTCTTCTCTCTATGTCAAAAATCATATGGGGGTAGTTCAATGTCTTATGTGGGGTGATAGCGGGGACCCAATCAGGGTGAAGGGAATAGTAAAAGGTGATCATCTTAGGCACGCTCCTATGATTTTGCTATTGTTAGAAAATGTATAAATAGGCTGTGAAATTGTATGGGCGTTGGAACACACCTTTGAGGGGCTACCCTCTGTGTTCCCCAGCGCTGCAAATAAAGAAGTGCCTGCTTATCTGCAACTGTGTAGATAAGTTTTTCTCGTTGTGATTGCGACCCCGTCAACACTTTCTCCTCATCTCCACTACCCTGAGTGTCATCCGTGCTGCTGATAAACCAGTAGCGCCAGAACAGATAATAACTGTTCCTGTGAGAGCAATTAACTTCTGTGGTTCTTATGAAAGGCAGGTGAGCCTCACAGAGAAACGGCACTGGATGTCATTTGTGACACATGAAGCCATTTCAAGCTAGATCTCTCCAATCTGAGGAGATAGCAGTTAACTAAACATACTTTTTAATAATCCAAATTACCCATACATACCTGGCTTTGACGGTATTGATATTGAGGGCACATTTGGTAGTGGTACTGTCTCGGGACCACTTATTTCCAGCAAGTTTTTGTCTAGTTCTTCTTGTTCTAGTTCCTCTAGTTCTGCCATGAGTTCATCCTAGGTTTTGAAAGGAGGGAAAAAGGAAAAAAAAAAAAAGAAACGTTAAGTCATAGTTATTAGCAAGCAGATTTAGCTGGTCGTATTATTAAAGAAAAGAGCTTCAGTGCACAGGATCAGAGCAAACTGAGGAGAAAGGTCTCATATGAGTCAGCATTGCTGGAGGAATTTAAAAGGTTTGTCCATGTGGTGCTTAGAGACGTGGTTTAGTTGTGGACTTGGCAGTATGAGGATAACGGTTGGACTCGATGATCTTAAGGCTCTTTTCCAACCTAAATGATTCTATGATATAAAGAGAGGGAAATTTAAAGCATACCTCATCAAATTCTTCCCCAAATCCTACTGGCTTCGAGATGGCTGTTGAAATCTCATCTGCCAGCTCTTGCTGTTCTGCAATGTCCTGCATTAATTCATCTACTTTATCAATATCCCTGTAAAAGAAAGCAAAGAGTTCAATCTAATCAGGCTCTTTCCCAATCAGCACTTAACATTATTCCTTGGGTTCTGTAGAAATGCCACACCATGGTGACATTTTGCAAGGTCCCTTCCCGAAATATACCTTGCATGCAGGTCTGAATTTTATACCCCTGCTCTCAACAAAACTATGCACCTATTTTATACTTTTCCCTGAAAGCTTAGCTCACCACAGTTATACACAGAGACTTCACGTGATGAGGTTTTGTTCTGCACAAGCAGTATTAATAATAAGCAGTTCTGTTCCCTGATCCAGCATTATTACATTACATCTGCAAGATCTGCTTTTGGAGCAGGTACAACACTCCCATAACGCGGTTTACCTTTAATTACTGCTGTATACACAAACTCAATTGCACAGAAAGAAGTTGAAGTCTCCCATTGAGGCTTAAAACTCTTGCTGCTACCAGTTGGATCTGTAACTGGTGCTCATTTAGTGCCATTTGCTTGAGACTACACTGGTGCAGCTCTGCTGGACTACAGCAGCAGCTTTGTGCCATAATAAATGGTGTCAGACTGAGAAAGCATCAATGTTTGCACATTTTGTTTGACATGAAAGTATATCTAGTATTTTAGTGTGAATTAAAGCCTTTTAAAAGAAGATTTTGCTACTCCAGCTCTACCTTTGGTTATGAAACGCCTGGCATTTAGCAGAAACAAATGGCAATCCACAAGTCCTATGGAAAGATGCAGAAGGGAGCAACTTACATGTTGTCATGAGCAGCTTTCATAGCTTTAGCAGCAAAACCCATGTTCTTGAGCACTTCAGTGTTAGTGTTGGCATTCTCAAGGGCTTCCCTCTGAAACTCGATTGTGGATAGCGTGCCGTCTATCTGCGCGAGCTGCTTCTCGTACCTCTTCTTACGCTTCAGGGCCTGAAGAGCAGCTGAACGACAAAGCAGAGAGCAGGATTTGTCAGATTTGTGCCTGAAACAGCCACTCACATTTTGTACCAAATACCACAGTGCAAATATTCAGCACATTCGACTGTTGTCCACTTTTCTTCCTATATAAACCAAGTTGCCGCTCAAAGGACCCAAGCCAAGAAGCAACTCAAGGATGGGTCACCCAGTCACTCGTAACACACCCCGAACCATGGGCCACGCTACAACAACCAGCAGGTTTCCATGCAAGCTGATCCACTTCAAAACATCTTTGTTCACCATCTAAGGCACAATTGTTGGTGTAGCTCCCGTCAGGTGAGTTCGGTTTGAGCAATCTGCTGCTCATGAGTACTTGTACAATGCTGGCTCTTGCAAGAGGAGCCCACCCCTGACAGCACCAGCACAGAGCTCACACCCACGTGTTTCAGGTGCGGGAGGACTGGTCCAACTCGCTGCATGGGTCGGCTTCTCCAGCTCCTTCTGCTGCTCTCAGCTCCACCCCACCCAGGCAGGTGTGAACCCAACATACAAACACCAGAGCGGTGCACGTCTCTTCCCAAAACACACCGACAGTGAATACAAACTGGATAATTCTGCCTGTACGTGGATAAGGTGAGGGCATGATCCAGTGGGCCCAAGTGGACCAAGCACTGAGCACTGCTGGCTGATGAACACACACGAGGCATCACAGGGAGTAAAATCCATGAGCAGAGCTTCCCTTCCTGGCAATTTTTACTTCCCCTCTGGATAAGAGCAGACCCGTCCACTGCGTGACAGATTTGACCATATAATACACCCATTTACTTTAAAAGCTCACATCAGATCAGTCACATGCACTAGAAATGGCAGCAAATAAAGGCTTTAAACATCCACGATGTTATTTCAAACCTTCGCATCCCCGTTTACGATTCCACCGAAGATCAGGGCGAGCCAGGGACAAGGAGGATTAGAAATCCTGAGAGCAGACAGCTTCCCTTATCTCCCCTGCTAGAGGGATGATAACTCGGTGACATGATGGATACGTTCCTGCGGCACAAGCGGAACAGCTCCTCGCGTGTTTTGACAGATGGCATCTCGAGAAGGCTGACAGTCCTTCAAGATAACGGCCTGGTGTCTCAAAGCCCCACACACCCCTCCAGTTCCACAGCTGGTTACGAACAGGCTGTATTTGATTACCAAAATGTGCTGCCAAGTACGCAAAGTGGCACAGTTCGATTTAGCAGAAGCGACCAAAACCACCTTGGCTGTTCCAACACAAGCCAAAGACCCAAATTCAAGCCCCTTCGCTGACTTTCAATCCGACAACCAGTAAATGTCCCCGCTGTTTCGGGTCCTGTCCAACATCCACCCTCATTTGATAGGGGCAGGAACTGGCTTTTCGTGTAACACAAAGGACAACGTTTGCTGTGCAGAACGAAGCACAACACAAATATCATCTGAGCGGTCCAGCTTTATGCTGGATCGTAAAGCAACGAGCAGCGCATTCCGGGTGTATTTAGTCCGGTTAATTTTGTGCTAGTGGTTTCATTAAGGACATATAAAGTTTTCTTACTCACAAAGATAAAACTGCTAATAGGCTGTGTTTATACAGCAACAGATGTTGGGAAAGTGTCAGCACTAGGACGCTCTTATTGCGGATTTTCTGCATCATGGAGAATTATTGGCAAAATCAGAGATTTTACAACCGTTACACAAACCCAAGTGAAGTACAATTTACGTGCAGCTCTCCACTACAGCTTTCCCTGAGGACAGCAACAGTTTATCCACATTTCATGTTTATCACACACACAGAATCACAGAATCGCTCGGCTG